GCGCCTCAAACCGTTGTATGCAACCGCACACGATCGCCCAAGTATGCACCAGCCCTAAAGGGTAAATTCAAAACTTTTTTTCACAAGCAATTTGGGAAAATGGAATTACCCGCACATATCTGGCCCCTCTCTTTCACGCAACTTTCTTCCCGTCTGCCAGTACTGGTATACTATCTGTACCTGTGGCATGTATTCTCAATTTTGCACTCTGTCAGCGTGGTCACCCGACAGCGCTGACTAATGAGAGATTGTCATGAGGAACAAGTAGACGGGGACCCCGCTTTAGTCCTTGGACATGTAGTTTTTTTTAAACATTTCCACACCCCTGCCACACTATGCTCTGTTCATTTTTCACCAGGAAAAAAAAAAACTAGATGCACACTACACAGGATTGTGAGGTCACACTTCCAACCACCAAGTCACTGAGAAAATGAAAATGCAGATTTATCAACCAATTAAACATGAGGGTCAAGGCTATCATTTGGACTGATGCCTGTGAATCGGGCAAATGTTAATGAGTGGCCCTGCTAGCTATACAAAAGTGGATTATTCAACAACTTGTTGAAGTACCAGGCTGAAAATTGTCAGCTGAACAATGTATTGCCAACCAGCTGCAGTCACTGTCAGGTAGGCGGACGGACACTGTTTAGCGTGGAGGGAAGAATCGGGTAGATTTTGTTGTGTGAAAGAAATTAGAGTATGGCCAGTTTTACGCTCATCTGTCCATACTCCTGCCAGATCCCAGCTGAAGCCACACAACCGCTGCTGCAAAGTCTTCCAGCCGGGAAGCTGCTGCTTGTAGACATACACAGACAATTCCATTAATTCCATGGAGAGCCTGTATTACCCATCCCAACAGTGGACAGCCCCTCCATAGAAATGAACTGGATTTTTCAATGCATGCCACTATGTTACAGTACTCCTGATTTGTGGTAACACACATGGAGACACTGTTCTTAAACTTGGAGCAAACGTTATCAAAGTAGCTACGGTATTCTGAAAGATTAGGTGCATCTTTCACTTCATTAAACAGGTGTGTGTGTTCGTCACCAAAACCATGTAATACAAGAAACTACCAAAACTAAGCATGTACCGATACCAAATACCGATACCAAATACCGATACCAGAAGTCCTATTAGGGAAGCCAGGCGGCATGTAATGAATTGCCACCCAGCTTCCCGATTGCCAGGGAAGCCATCTCCAGGAAGCATGGAGCCGGCTTTTTGGCCACTCATCACCCTTATCACCAATCAGGAAGCCAGGCAGTGTGTAATTACTTGCTGCCCAGCTTCCTCATACTGGAAGCTCGGGTATCGGGCTAGGCATCGGAGTACTCGCCCAAATACTCGGTATAGGCACCGATACTAGTATTGGTATCGCTGCTTCCCTAACCTTGACCATTCATAGAAGACGTATCCAGTTAGACAGACCCTTGCATCATTTGTACAAACTGTAATGTGTATGGTTGGCTTAATACAAATATGAGCAAAAGGGTCACCCATGTTTATTTGCAAGTAGATGTAGGTGGCATATATTACTATATAAAATTACTACATGGTTCTCTAACCTCTGGAAGTGCCATTGTTGAGATATGCACCAACAAAACATTTGGCAGAAATCTCATGACTTTCCAAAAGATATTTATACTTTCTTCTACAGCAGCATGACCTCCAACAGGGCTCGTTCACACAGGCATGAACAGCAGGCTTTTGTAGCATTTACAACACTTTACAAATGCTTTTCATAATCTTACAAACTGTAAGCCAAAATGTTAATACATATCCATATGTGAGACAAGTGCTTGTGTTGCTTTAACTTCCACTGGAAGCAACAGTTGGCAGGTTCTGAAAGCCTGTTGACACTTCTGATGTCTGTAATTGATGTCAGTGGAAAGGCGTCTTAAGATCTCTATAGTGTTTGGGAAGCTGCTCCTTTCTATGGTGCTGTAGGCAAAAAGCCCGTCAACTCCTTGCCAAACAAATCAACTCTTGATAAACGCATGAGGCATTTGGGAAGCTCTGGTAGCAAATGACACAATGCTCTGGTACATTTACACAATGCCACAGACCATCCGCAGAGGGTAAAGCTGGCCATACACCCATAGATTATCTGCAGATTTTCTATGGTCAGATAGTAAAAGTGCAACAGATTCCTCCATCTACGCTAAATGCAGTGGATGGGGGAATCTCACACTGGGCCAAGCTTTAGTATCTTGCTAGTCGGCCCCACTGGCTCTCAAAGTACCCGAATGCCTGCATCCAATCAGATTGTTGAGGTATTGTAAAAGTCAGCAGGGCTGACTAGCAAGATAGAGATGTTAAGAAGCCTTTCCACTGACAATTACAGACATCAGAAGTGTCAACAGGCTTTCAGAACCTGTCAACTGTTGCTTCCAGTGGCTGACCAGCTTAAGGGTTACACAAGGGTGTAACTATATAAATCCTCTATGTGACTGATGTGTGGCCTCAAACCATAAAGATTTCTTGTGTTGTCAAGGTTCACATCAGCCTTGTTGCACATTAACTACTAAGGATACACAGAATGAGTTATCAGCTCCCGCCATGCTAAAAATAGAGATTAAATGCTCTACATTACCTTACAATCACATTTCGGAAGGCCTTGTATACATGGGCTTCAGCTTGTATAATAGTAGTACATTTGCAGTAAAAACTTATACAAGGCTTTAGAAGAGATCTGCAACCTTAAAGTGACATTAAACTCTCAGATTTTTTAACATAAAATACTGTACTGTGTGCCTTACTGTAATCCCATCTCTTTGCTGCTCTTCCTTTTAAATCCGTATCTCTTCTCATGCTGGGCAGAACTTCTGTTTTGCAGCAGACTGCCCTGTCTCTGGAATGGATACATGGTGTCTGTGTAGGTTTGCAACCTGAGCCAGCACTACAGGAAGAGGCACTCAGCTGCAAAGGGAAGTTCTCCCCAAGCATGAGAAGACATGAGGATTTAAAAGGAAGAGCAGCAAAGAGAAGGTAAACCACCATGGATTACAGTAAGGTGCACATTACAGTATTGGTTTATGTTAAAAAATCTGAGGGTTTAATGAACATGCAAAGTCCAGCAATTCTGCCCAAAATTCACAAAATGTGGGAAAATGTGTCAGGCTTGCAAGGCCATTCATTGCTAATGGCACCCCAAACACGCAGACAAAACGTGCAAAAATTGCATTGTTAAAAATACATGCAAAAATTGAACCTCAAAAATGTACATGGGCTTCTGTGCCGTGTGTAGGACAGCCCATTTATATTATTGGATTGCCTGATGTGTGACACATGTGCAAAAACAGTTTTGATGTCTTAGCAAGTGTGAATGGGGGATTAAAGCGATTTTCATCTTCAAATTAGGAATGTTACACACAAGTCATAATGGGAGTGCTGGCACCGCATGTTAAAGTACAACTCCAGTGGGAGCTTCCTTCCTGTTTAGATGAAAGACTCAACTCCTCCCATGTTCTCCTCCAGGACTTCTCTAGAGTACCTCCCATCCTCTGGAACTCTGTACCCCAACCTGTCTATTTCCTACTCTGACTGCCTTTAGGCGATCCCTGAAGACTCATCTGATCAGGGAAGCCTATCCCACCTAAAACTAACCACTAAACCATCACGTTCGCAAACAATTCCTCCCCACACAGCTACCACCCCTTGTATCTATTGCCCCTCCCCTTTAGACTGTAAGCCCTCATGGGCAGGGCCCTCCTTACCATCTTGTCTTCTATTGTAATGTCTTCCTTATATTGTAAAGCGCTGCACAATCTGTTGGCGCTATATAAATCCTGAATAACAATAATAATAATAATAATATTAATAATATTAATAGAACCTCTCAGCTTTTTTGCAGTGTACCCACACTGGGGAGATGATCCTCACCACCAGTCCGCTAGTAGCTTGTATAAAGGAAAAGATCTCCCATAATGATCTGTATTTCATGGACTTAGACCATGGCGGCCTCAGCCTTTGAAACATTATCTGATCAGTACGCTATGAAGGATATATCAATTGCAGCAGGTATTCTGCTCGGGCCCATTTTTTCATTCATTCCACATATTGCAAGATTGCTACAACATCAATGTAGGTGTTACCCATCACTAAGCAGCTCTTCCTGTTCCCAGACATGGCCCCCTGAGGACACCATTAATGTAATTTATTAATCAGAAGTCAGAATGGACAGGATATGCCTGTGACGAGGTTAAAAGCAACTAAGAAAAATAAATACAAAATTATACTCTCTGAAATCCAGGAAGATCCTAATAATATGCTCTCTGCCTCTGCTGCACCAAAATCCCAAGCACAGTTATCAGCCCTTGCCCTAGTTCACATAGCAGACTACAGAACTACTGCCCTAAAGTTATGAAACTGAAGGTTAGGGGTTTGAAATCCCAACAAGGAGCAAGCAGCCTAGGGTGACAATACCGCTCCTTCATAGGCATAGTACATTAACCCCTTCATGACAGGCCTTTTTTTCCATTTTTTGCACTCATGTTATATTCCACATTTTAGGCCTGAAAATTACTTAAAACCCCCACACATTATATATTTTCTGAATGCCTATCACATGGGGGGGCTTACAAGCCCCCCCATGTGATAGCAGATGGTGGTGACAGGTCCTCTTTAAGGTGATGCTGGGGGTCCAAAAGACCCTCAGTGTCACCTTTACACTGGAAATAAGCTATTGAAGTGCAGATCGCACTTCAATAGCTTATAGCTGGGCTGCAGGAGCCCAGAACTGACAGCCCAGGGACTGGAAGTGATGCAATCTGCATCGCTCCCGGTCCCATAGAACGATGAATAGATCGATTAATGGAAGTTCGTCGACCTCCTCCCCGCGGACACCAAGGACGCCGGTCCCGGGCTCATAGGAGGGACAACGGAGCCCGGGAAGCACGGTGGCGGTGTCCGGGGGCGGCCCCTTCTTCGGGACACAGAAGCGATCTGGCGACAGGTAAGTCGCCAGAATCGCTTCTGTTGTAAAGGCTCTACAACAGCTCTAGACGTTTAAACAGAGTCCCGGCGGCAAAAGTCGCCGGGAGTCTGTTTAAACAGCCCCGATGCTGGCGACGTACACTGTAGGTCGTCAGTCACGAAGGGGTTAAACAGCCCCGATGCTGGCGACGTACACTGTATGTCATCAGTCACGAAGGGGTTAAACAGCCCCGATGCTGGCGACGTACACTGTACGTCGTCAGTCACGAAGGGGTTAAAAGTGAGTGTTATGACCCTAGAACAGAAAGTGTGTTACTGGCTGGATCCCAAGGTGGGAAATATAGAGAAAAGAAAACTAATGCAGCCACTGCATCTACTGGACTGGTAGGCTTGCATGTTGTTCTTGGGTTTGATGTGCAAGAGAAAAGGTCTATTATAAACAAACCCAAGGAAAGTGCTAGGGATACCTAGAAGCACCTCAAGGTCTGTGCAGACTTCTAGGAAAAGCAAAAAAAGTGAACGTTAAGCAAAAGCTGAGAACAATTTTTTTTTTGGGGGGGAGGGTACCAACCTCAAAAGTTTATTACTCGTACTTGTGAAAATGCCTTGATACTAAGCACCGCTACCGTCACTTTAAATGGGACAGACCTCGGCAGGCTTCCTGTTTAAAGCCCCCCCTGCCGCACATCTCCTTCCTGGATAACCATGCCACCGTATAACCATCTGGACCCTGGCGAGACCCCGCTCAACCCACTATAGACCCCACAGAGCCCTCCTGATCCTCCGCTGGAGACATCAGGCCGGAACCCTGGAGCAACACAAAGTATGTAGCTTCATATTATTCTGCATTAATGTATTGCTGTGATTTGTAGTCCCCTATAGCCGATGGTATTATTCTGCATTGCGTATAATGCATCACTGTGATTTGTAGTCCTCTATAGCCAATACATTATGCAGCAATGCAACATTATGCAGCAATGCAGAATAATGCTATCACTGGGATTTGTAGTCCTCTATAGCTGGTGGTATTCTGCATTGCAGTATAATGTATTGCTGAGATTTGTAGTCCCTCTACAGCTTGGAGTCAGTGGCAGAACCACCAGTGGAGCAGCGTTTTCAGCTGTGACTGGGCCCTGGCACTTAACCAATGAACTAAAACCAGTCTGTAATGTTTCGGAAAAACAGTCACATGACAATAAAAACAGGAGGCATAGTGGGGTTGGGGGGGGGGGAGGGAGGAATGGTATTGGTGCATCTCTACCATTTGTAAAAGGTAAGAGTGCTAAAGTGCACCTTGCTGCGTCTTCAGATCGATACTTGTGCTGCCTCTAACTGCTGCTCAAGTCAGTATTAAAGAGACCCCGCCACCAGACCATTATTTCAACAACAATCTTGCCATTATACATCCGTTTCCAATGTTTCAGCATTAGGTTATTTGCCAGTAAAAGCCTCCCTGATATAAACATCCTAATGCCCCGAGACTTCTGCTGGGTGCTGCCATCTTGGATTTGATGTCAACAGCCCCAGAAGAGTCAGAGTGGTCACTCAAGTGAAACTTTACATTCCCTCCCCTCCTCCCCCTCTTGCTACATAAAAAGGGGGAGGGTTGTTATAGAAAGGTGGAGATGATGGACCAGCTGTGTGGCCCCAGTAGCGCCACTCTGTACAGAAACTCCATAGCTGGTCCAAAAAATTCTCAGCTGAACAATGAGTGCAACCAATCATCAGTCACTGTTCAGATATTCTGACAGCAGTTATCCGCTGCTGTCAGAATACAATAGCCTGGCGGGTAGGAATCCCCCATCCACGCTGTTTGCTGGAAATCAAAGCCCAGTGTACAGCCTGAGTCCATGATCCAAAAGGAATGCCAAAAGGACACAAAAATGTGTTTAAATACTAAAATACTAATACTACAACAACAATGTATCTGCACTTCAGCTCGTCATGTCAAACATTTAAGGCTAGGGCAGAAGCGCAGCATCTACTGCCCATGCTCTTCACTTGGAATGCCCTCCTGGTGGAAGGACCACCATAGAAGTTAGTACAAGTCACTGAGTAGCCAATAATCAACTGTTGCATGCAACATTTAATAGGAGTAAAGCAACGAGAAGCTTAACAAACAACGGGCATGTTTATAAAGCAGTGAAATTGATATTCACCAAACATTCACTGCAGGCCAACCTTCCAGCTGCACTTGTTTTCAATTACAGTGTTTGATTCAGCACCAGTGAATGTTTGGTAAAAGTCACTGCTTTATAAACAGACCCAAAAGTGTATAGTTAGGTAACCATCAATGTATACTGTGTGCCCTGGCAGTGTAACTCCTGCCAAGCACTCCCTTCTGAAGCCCATGGAGGGAGAGGGAGAAAGACTTTAGACACTGCTGGTTACAAAGAGTAGAATGCACACTTTATTAGGGCTGCAAATATTTTTTTCAATTAAATCGGATAAAATAAAAAATGAAATACCATCTTTTATTTAAAATAAAATACACAAATTGAGAGTTAAGTTTTCAGAATAACCACGTGTTCCAGTGCAGGCAATCGCACTGCGGGCGGGAGGAGTGTCTGGGGTGCCAATGACATGAATGGAACCACAACGCACATTCCGCAGCAGAATTTATCAAGCCAAAACTGTCCAGTTATTTACAAACACTCAGTGATCAGCTGATCGCTGACTGTTTGTACACCACTCTCCATCCTGAATGAGCCGTCACAGGAGGTGGGGTGGGCAGTGGCAGAGGAGAGCTCCGCCTCCTGTGGCAGATCACACCGCTCTCCATTCTGACACAGGAGGTGGAGTCGAGAGTTGCAGGGGAAGAACTCCTCCTCCTGAAAGCTTCTCTCCTCACCGCTAGGCACTGGCCACTGCATCAGACCAACGCCCAGCTGGGAGGAGACGCTAGGGATACACTGATTTTTTTTTATCTGCCCGCGTTGCCTCTGCCGACATAGGCAGGGATTGGAAGAGACAGAGACCGCTGTAGCCGGCGCCAGCAGGGAGGAGGAATCAACTAATCGATGAGAATCGTTGATAACGATTCTCATGAATTATCATCGATTAGTTGTTGCAGCCCTACACTTTTTCACAATGTGCTCTACAACGCTGCTATCATGTTTTACATGAAGGACGACTGTACTTCTAGTAGAGGTGTCATTAACCCCCACCACCTTCCTTAATGTAACATGCCTAGTAAAATATTTGTCTTCCTCCTGCACACTGTGGTAGTGTTCACGCATTTCATACATCTCTGCAATACAGGCACAACCCTCCATTTTTTATTCCTTCAAACATGCAGAAAGTAAAACGGAATATTTTTTTTTTATGTGTCCGAAAAATAACGTACTACTATCTTCCTATGACATGACACACTATTTTTGTTTCTGAACTCTGAAGCAGGTGGTGTCAGCCCTGCCTACTTTATTACAAAAAAACAGCCCTCTCCCTCCTCATCTCCATCAACCCTGCCTGTACACAGAGCACAGGAAATTATCAGCTCACAAGATTTGACAAAATTAACAGGTAGGTTTTGCACTTATCGAACAGTTATAACAAAAAGGTTTTCAATTATACATTTGCTGGACCAAAAGCAAATAGAAAAACATTCACCGTTTGGGTTTACACAGACTTGGACTTGTTCACACCAAGTGTGTTAAGCTACATTGATTTATGCAGGCTAAGCTCAAAGAAAGATACTATTTGCTGGAAACGAGAATACTATTGCTGATGTCCCTTGCTAAATATTGCGTTGCTGTGCACTGGGGTAAATGTAAACCAGCTGCATTTTTTTTTAAAGTGCAGAAAGAGTTACAACGTAAGTAAACTCAGAATTAGGCCCAATATACGCACACACACACTATTTTTTCTGACTGGACTGGAACGCAGGCATTGATGCGCCTAGCGTTCCTGTGCAGCCGATCGCACTGTGGTTCCATTCACTTTAATGCACCACTACGCCCCCTCCGGCCCCACAACAAACTGTCCCGGCCGGAATGCGATCCAGTGCGTTCCGGCCACAATCAGGAACGCACTGGTGTGAACGGGCCCTAAATGGAAAATGAAACATTTCCCATTTCACTTATTTTGATCTGTTAAAGTGAGAATAAAAAAAACAAAAAACTCAGTTTACAAACATTTCTGACATTTCAAAAACAAAATCAGTGACCAATATAGCCAATAACAGTCATCAGACTTCCATCCATGGAGCCTGACAGTTTCTTCAACTCTTTACAATCAACTTTTTGTTGCCTTGCAGACACTGTTCCTAGAGGTGTACTGTTTTCCTTCAATGTAAATATTCTGTTTAAGAAGAGCCCCCAAGTTCTCAATAGGGTTTAGGTCAGGTGAGGAAGGGGGCCATGTCATTATTCTTTCATCTTTAAGGCCTTTACTGGCTAGCCATGCAGTGGAGTACTTTGACGCATGCGATGGAGCATTGTCTTGCATAAATATCATGGTCTTCTTGAAAGATGCAGACTTTTTTCTGCACCACTACTTGAAGAAAGTGTCTTCTAAAAATTGGCAGTAGGTTTGGGAGTTGATTTTGCGTCCATCTTTAACCCGAAAAAGGTCCAACTACCTCATCTTTAATAATACCAGCCCATACCAGTACCCCACCTCCACCTTGCTGGCGTCTGAGTCGAAGTGGAGCTCTGTACCTGTTACTGATCCAGCCACGGCCCCATCCAGCTGGTCTGTGAAGAATCACTCCCATCTCATCAGTCCATAAAACCTTTGAAAAATCTGTCTTCAGATATTTCTTGGCCCAGTCTTGCAGTTTTAACTTGTGTGTCTTGTTCAGTGGTGGTTGGGTTTCAGCCTCCCTTACCTTGGCCATGTCTCTGAGCCCTGAACACCTTGTACTTCTGGGCACTTCAGGTAGGTTGCAGTTCTAGAATATGACCGCATATTCTGGAATATGACCGCGTCTTTCTTTCTCAACACGTTTCTTGCGACAGTTGACTATTTGCAACAAAACGTTTGAGGGTTCTGTGATCACGTCCCAATATCCTAGCAACTTCAAGAGTGCTGCATCCCTCTCAAAGACTTTACAATTTTTGACTTTTCAGTCAGTTAAATTGCTTCTTTGGCCCATTTTGCCGGAGGAAAAGAAGCTGCCTAATTATTACGCACACCTTGATATTGGGTGTTTATCACCTAAGGCCACACCCTCCCTCATTATACATCACCTGATATGCTTAAATCCAATAAGCCTTCATGTTTATACAGCTTGGAGTTGGACAATATGTATAAAAATGGTGATTTCGTCAAAATACTCACTTGCCTAATTGTGCACACAGTGTATGTGCAGCAAAGTGGTCAGCTGTCACCATTACTATGGAGTTTTAATTTCCATCCACAATCCAAAAACATGCTTGCAGTTAAAGTGTATGCAAACCTCAACAATGAACTTCTCTTATTTGCTTCCTTTTGGACTGTTACATAAATGAAAGTGTTTTTAAGAGATAGAGATGTGTGTGTACACACACACACACACACTATATTGCCAAAAGTATTAGGACGCCCCACCAAATCATTGGATACAGGTGTTCCAATCACCTCCATGGCGACAGGTGTATAAAATCAAGCACCTAGGCATGCAGACGCTTCTACAAACATTTGTGAAAGAATGGGTCGCTCTCAGGAGCTCAGTGAGATCAAGCGTGGTACCGTGATATGTTGCCACCTGTGCAAGAAGGTCATCCGTGAAATGTCCTTGCTACTAAATATTCCACAGTCCACTGTTAGTGGTATTATAAGAAAGTGGAAGCAACTGGGAACAACAGCAACTCAGCCATGAAGTGGTAGGCCACATAAAATGACAGAGCGCGGTCAGTGCATGCTGAAGTACACAGTGCGCAGAAGTCGCCAACTGTCTGCAGAGTCAATAGCTGCAGACCTCCAAACTTCGTGTGGCTTTCAGATTGGCACAACAAGAGTGCGTAGAGAGCTTCATGGAATGGGTTTTCATGGCCGAGCAGCTGCACCCAAGCCTTACATCACCAAGTGCGATGCAAAGGGTCGGATGCAGTGGTGTAAAGCGAGCCGCCACTGGACTCTAGAGAAGTGGAGACGTGTTCTCTGGAGTGACGAATCACGCCTCTCTGTCTGGCAAACCGATGGAGGTGTCTGGGTTTGTCGGTTGCCAGGAGAATGGCACTTGCCTGACTACCTTGTGCCAAGTGTAAAGTTTGGTGGAGGGGGGATTATGGTGTGGGGCTGTTTTTCAGGGGTTGGGATTGGTCCCTTAGTTCCAGTGAAGGGAACTCTTAAGGCATCAGCATACCAAGACATTATGAACAATTTCATGCTCCCAACTTTGTGGGAACAGTTTGGCGGTGGCCCCTTTCTGTTCCAACATGACTGGCACCAGTGCACAAAGCAAAGTCCATATAGACATGGATGAATGCGTTTGGGGTGGAGGAACTTGACTGGCCTGCACAGAGTCCTGACCTCAACCCGATAGAACACCTTTGCAAGAATTAGAGTCCAAAATCGGTATGTGTGTGTGTGTGTGTGCAATCAGAAATCTTGTGAGCTGACAACTCTGTG